ATCCACATTCTGTCTCTCATGTAAATCTCCTCTTTATTCATTCTATCATTTCATTATGTCGTTCACAGTATTTAAAATATTTTCTTCAGTTTTGAAAATCACGTCTCATGTTCTTTACATATGCCCATCTTAGGGAGAGTTGGTGGACAGTTACGTGAGCTGGTTGATGTACATTCACAATAGTCGGAGACGGAGATGTAACCATCTTTGTTTCTCGAGCCACTTTTGTTTCTGATGCTAATATTTTTGCACCCTTGTTGTATATACATGTAATACTAAAATTAAAATGGTCGAGTCTAGATTTAAAAAACAAACAAACAAAAAAAAAAAAAAAAACGGCGTGGAAAATTGGCGATGACGGAAAGGAGAGATCGTTGGCGTAATGCATCCAACACGATGCTACACTGTATTCTCAGGGCCACTAAAAGATGTATGAACGAGCAGGCCGTATAGCTTCTACGCGCCCTTAGGTAAGAAGCTCCACCCAACACCCCCCTCTCCCCCCGTCCACGCCCCTCCCCGCTCACCCCCTTCCCCTCAACCCCACCCACCCTAGACAAATAGAAAATCTGATGACACATTCCCATAAGCTCCCCCCCCCCCCCCCTTGATCCGTCAATATTTCACGGGCCGTGTCGTAAGAAGAAAGATGTCAGTCAACTATGTCTATAACTAATCTATTGAAACCTCAATCTGTTTGTCGATAGTTAACCTCGCAGAATCTCGGGGCAAGCCCAGGAGAATAACAAGGGCATGAAACAGGACATCTGTGGAAAGGACATATTGATCGCGCGCCTGGCGTAGGTTGAAGATGTTATCACTGTGAATATTTTTATTACTAAATGCGTGCATTTGAACATTTCTGAGTGGGTGTGCTCTTTCGTTTGGTAGACATACGTGACAGATGGTTCTGGCTTAGATTATTTCTGTGATTTCAAATTATGATATTAATATAAAAAGTATTTTGATCGCTAGTACGGTCTTTCGAAGTGATTTAAGTCTTCTTGTGTGAGTGCAAGTGTTCAATTTTGCATACATGTGTGAGTATTGAGATATTAAGCCATTGGAGCACCAGAGTATTTCTTCGTCCACTCTTTCGTTGTTCGTGTTCGCCTTTGTTTAAAATGTTTGTGAGAGGAACGGAAGGAGGAGATTATGTCCGATCGCAAAAGTTATAACGTAAATCACATAATGAGGTAGTTTATACTGTATTGTGAAGTACTTTTTTCCAATATTGTTTTGTAAACCTCATTCGCAATTTGTAAGACAAGTCTGTTCTGTTCTTCCACTAACGATATAGTTCCTCTAAAGTAGTATACCCACACAATTATCCGAATGGTATAACCTTTATGAATTCAGCAGGGTAGGCTTGTTTAGATCAGGCGCTATACTACTAATTGCATTTTAGAGTATACTGTTTATAAACTACAAAACTTTTTGAATTCCCATTAAAAAAAACCCAAACAAATTAATCAAAAAAGAAAAAAACCCTTAAACAAATAAACAAACACCCCTCCACACAAAAAACACCCAAACAAAACTTTGTGACGCTTTCAACCATTAGTGTTTCGTTGTCTCCTAAATACTAATAAAAATGCCTTTTCTGTGGGAAGTGTCTACGTTCTCTAACGTTAGAGAAGGTATACAAGCTGTCTACGTTCTCTAATGTTCAGTCCTTCCAATTCTCCGACATTTTTTATAGTTTCCCCTAGACCTCATCTGCCGATCCGATGCCCGCCGTCTCATTGATATCCCCCCCCCCCCCCCCCCCAGAATCCCCATTCCCCATGTTTCCGACTTTCTCACTTTCTTTGTTGTAAAAGTAGAAATCTAGATGTCAACATCTTGATCTATATTGTTGCCTTTCCTGAAACAGTGCTGTATATATTAAGCTTAATCTACCTCTGGTCGTGGGATGTTCTGACAGCCGAATGGTCAGCGTGTCTGCGCTTGGAGTGTATGAGTGTGGGTTCGAATACCGGTCCCGAAGTTGTTGTTTTTTGTCTCCTCCTCCCGTCTTTCCAACTATTTTCCCCATAATTATACAGTCGAACCTGCCCTGACGGTCACCTCTATAAGACGGCCACCTGTACAAACGGCCACTTTCAATTTCCCCCCTTGCGTTTTTTCTATATAATTTAACTGTGTAAAACGGGCACCTGTCCAACGCGGCCGCGGCTACAATAAATTTAACACACAACCCCTATAATACTAAGCAGTAATACCTGTCTAAGACGGTCACCTTAGTGACTCCATTACGTTTTGTCATAAATTGTGCATTGGCCCCTGGCGTTGTGGGTGAGCCGTCATAATTCAATCACCTGTCGTTGTTGTTAGGTAGTCCCTCCAACCGATCATGTTGTGTAGGCCCCTCCCACTGTTGACCAATAGCTACCAAGTTTCAGCTGCTGGTGAGGTAAGCGTGTGATCCCTCATAACCCATAAGCCCCGCCCAGAACTCATACACAAATCGTAAGTGAGATGAGTGGTCACTGTTTACCCAGTCTGTAACAAAGTAACAAAGGACGTCAACATGAACTTGTGAAAGAAGCGTCGCTCGTTCTCCGAGTGGTGGCGACCCGTGTGTTAGCTTTAGCATGGCACTCGGTCTTCCTTGTCTGATACATTTCGTTTTATTGTCACCCTTGTGCAAAATCAGCGACAAAATAAAAATTACAAACGAAATACAAACCAACAACAACAACACCAACAAAGACAACATAATGGGGCTTCTTTCGATTGGGGCCTCAGATGGGAATGGTTTGTTTTCTTTATCTTGATCAGTCCTGCCTAAGACGGCCACCTGTCTTATACGGCCACTTTTCTCCTTGACAACGGTGGCCGTCTTACACAGGTTTGACTGTAATTTGTTGCTTTGTAATTTCTTATGTAGTGATGAAGCATGCAAATTCTGGTTTTGTCCCCAAGAGGAACTTTTATCTACTAAGTATTGGCCTACTTTTCCTTTTACCAATTTATGCCTGGTAAAGTACATTTTCGACAGTGGCTTTTTTTGGTCTGTGAGTCTAATTTTGAAAATGTATTTTAGAATCGGAGAGGCCAAATCCTAATTCTTCAAATGCAAATTTTCTTTATCCAGGGCCCTCCTGCGGCCCCCAGACCTCTGCCAATTGTTCCTCCTACCGATTATTATTCGTCCTGGTTGGGGGTCAGGGAGCAAATTGTTGGTCAGTCAGCAGAAGGAGAGGAAAAAACCCCCACCCCAACAACAACAACAACTACAACAACAACAATAACAACAAAAAAAAAAATCCTAAGTTTCCCGGGACCGGGATTCGAATCCACGCTTGGAAGCACTGAGCATCAGAGAACGTAGACAGCTTGTATACGTCCTCTAACGTTAGAGAACGTAGACACTACTTTTTCTGTGTGAAAGGCGTTTATCTATATCTGTCCATCCCTACCCGTAAATGAAGAGCCGAATGACCATTTGAGTGCTTGAGGAGTTCCGTCGACAGGAGTAAGAGAAAATACAAGACGTCCTTAACACTGTATCACCTGACCCAGACCGAATTTCACCTCTGTAGTCTCGGCGAGCAGTAGGTTGCACAAAAAGTTGTTTATCATCAACTCAAGTCCGACCCAGATCGTACAAACAAAGGCATCTAGCTTTCCCAGCTCAACAAGGAAGAAGTACACAAAAAATTGAACCCCCCCCCCAAACAACAACCGTTTAATTGTTCTAGCCTCCTCTTACCATCCCTAACCGCTCTTACCCCCCCCCTCACAAAAAGGGATTTATTTAAAAACCATTCAATACAAAAATTGAGTAAACTGGGACATGAAGTATGGTACACAAAGATTATGAGGGAATCAAAGTAGGAGGCAAATCATGATTGAAATTCCATCTTGATTGTTAGTCCTACTCATTCATGGTACATTTCTTTTTATGTTCATTCTTTATTGTGCTCATCGTTATTTATTATATTGTGATAGTAGACGTATAAGTGTTTGTTTATGTGTAAGCGTTATTCTATAGAGCGTACGTATACACATTCATGCAAATGTATTTTGTATTTTATAAAGGTATTGTAAAGTGTCGGGAGCTGTACGGGACTTGGTGCTATAAAACTATCTGCCGTCTTCTTCTTCTTCTTCTTCTTCTTCTTCTTCTTCTTCTTCTTCTTCTTCTTCTGCTTCTTCTGCTTCTTCTGCTTCTTCTGCTTCTTCTTCTTCTTCTTCTCGTTGTAATAGTTAGAGCTATTGTCACTATTGTTATTATATCATAAATTCAAACCTTTTATGTTAATTAAACATCACATTCTTGTCTGGATTTTTATAAAAAAGTTACTAAAAAGCACAAAGTATGTAAGTTTACAGTTTCCAAGGGTACTTGAACCTTGAATTCATAGAACTTTGGCGGCCATTTTCTCGTTAATTTCATCTCTGATGGCAGATGACCTCCACCTCCTTGGATAAAAAATTCCTCGACTTCTTACTCAAGATAGATGGGTATTTTTTCCACCAAGAGTAAAGCAAATCAACAGGCTTTCAGATTATATCAACTACTCATTGCCCAAGAATTGACAAGGGCCTCATGCCACAGCGTTGTGAAATTATTAACGGGCATAGCAGTAGGCAAGCAAGGCGCCGCTATCCTGCAGCTACTATTTGATATCCATACCTTCATTAATCTATCAAAATTACGTCACTTTACCAGATTTAAACAATTATTTAGATGCGGGTTAACATTAATAATGTTGTGGCTATTAATTATATCGAATATGTCTTTTAGGAAGGTATAGTATGATATTCGGCCATTATCATAACTTTCGAGTATTATAGTTACACAAAACAAATTTTTCAACAGTAAAATTTGTTATTGTTCTTATATCAATTTGTACGTCCTACTTTAAAAAAAATAACTTAATGAATCAAAATTTTTGGAAGAAAAAACAACTTGTTTGCCTTTTTGCATAACTTATATTAAATGATATGCACGCTTTTACATTGTAAGTTATTACTTTTGTCTTTTACAGTAGGTAACAATCGAAAAGCAACTCAGCTCTTCAGAACCCTCAGAGCCAACTCAAGAGTATAAGGAAGGCCAGTTCCCCTACACCTTGCCCCAAACACTAGATATTCACCGTCCACAGCAGGAGTTTGAGAAAAGACACAATGTTCAACACTCGCGATCTGCCATCATTAAGCATGTCATGTTTCGCACTGTCGTGGTGCGCTCTTACCTGCCTGCTCTTTCTGAGAATAGACGCTGCAGCTACAGAAGACAGTAGTGCTCACGCCGCGCAGGTACGGGAGACCATGACCCAGATTGCGAGAAAAAGGCGCGAAATCACAGATGTGGTCCCCAAATCAGACTTGAGTAAAGAAGGCTTCACACAGGAGGAGAAGGATTCGATCATACACGTTCATAACTCCTTCAGGAGTGTCGTGAACGACCCTCCGGCATCCAACATGAGGGAAGTGGTAAGTGGTCATTGGAAGAGTGCATGGGGAACTGTTTTAAGTCTCAATTTTCTAACGTGTTCATTTTGCTTTGGTTTGATCCACTTAGTCCGTGAAAAACAACTTTTCCTAAAAACGGCAATAGTCACAAAGTGGAAACACATTTAAACATGTAGTACGGAGAAAGAACGACTGTTGTATATACAAACACGCGCATGTATTTTAAAAAAATATATTTTTTGCTTAGACCAGTGCTATATTTATTATTTGTTGGCTTCGCAGTGTACTCATATAATATCATGTCACCAAGAATCTTCACGTCACACACACACACACACACACAC